GTGCAAGAAGAAACATGATATTGAGTCAGGGCTGTGGAATTTTTTGCCAGGTGAGCGCATAAAAGGATAAAGTTAGGTGGTGATATGATGGATCAAGGACTCTTGATAGGGAGCCATGAAGCCATGAAGATAATGTAGAAGTGATTGGGAGGGAGAAGGCATGGGGATCAGTGGCTACAAGCACCAGAGATCAAAGAACAGGTGAAGATAACGGGAGGGAACCCTGAACTATCGTGGCACTAGTGCTAGACTCAACCTCTGCTGTTACTCCAGCTTTCAGACACTATCCTTGTGTGCTTCATTAAGGTCTTCCTTTTACTTGTTCATTCTTTTTGTCCAGTTCACTATTTATAAGTACCTGTGTCCTAAGGTAGACTCCGGAAATCATAGCGGATAAAAAATCACCATTAGCAGTGTTCCTGGAGAGAGAAATTAAAGAATGTAAAGTTTTGAAATGACCTCTATGGTATTTTCAGTACTGTGCTTCTATGTATTTAGAGTATGAGCCGCCAGGGCGTGCCTTGCCCAGGGGGATGTACATCACTGCATACACCGGGACCATTTCTCCACCTGCCCCTCAACTCTCCTCAATTTCTTGAATCAAGCTGTTAACTAAAATATGAAACTCTGCAATTTTAGTTAAATTGGAATACTGCCCCTTGCTTAAATGCAAATGCTCTTGAGAGGGCAGCAGGTTAAGCCTTTATCAATAATTAAGACATTTGTGGTCTTATATTTGGTCTGTGTGACCAACAGGAAAGCTTGCCAAGACGTTTACATCCCCAGGGAGAGAATAGAGCAGGAGATCTATCTTAGTGGTAGGCATAGTGTAGGGCCAGGTCACAATACCTAGAACTGCCAGGGAGACCTCCCTGCGAGGAAGAACTTTGTGAGTAGGAGGAAAACAGGACAGGGAAGAAGGCAATAACCTATCTTATTTTAAAAAAAGAAAAAAAATTTTGAGAGAGATTTTCACTGTAGGTTGCATGTACTCACCAGAGAGACAGAAAATGGGAAATCACCCCCCAGGGGGAAGGCCACGCTGCAGTCCCTTTTCCTCTCAGGATTTTGGGCATGCATGCACACACGCCCAGTGTGAGTTTCAAGCCTCTGGGTGGGTCCAGGACTCGAGCTGCAGTTAGCCATGTGGGAGTCTAGTGCCTTAACCACCTCACCAGCTCCTGATTTTTAAAAGTTCAGGCAGAGGGGGTGTGCACTTACCAGAGAGGGAGGGAAAGCACACAGGCACATGGACCCAATATGTTTCTCAAGCAGCTGCATCTGAGACTCGAACTGCACAGTTGGCCATGTGGGGTTCAGCCAGTCTAACCATCATGCCGCAGGCTGGCACACCAATTTTAAGTTTATTTTTGCCCAGGTTCAACCCAGTACGGGAAAGCTTTCTCTGGCCAGGATGCAAGCACTTTCCCCTGTTGGGTCTGCCTCTCTGCTTTACAACCCCCAGTACAGATTTTCTGACACTGCTTTTACGTGGAGTGATGGCATGCATGCCTGCCACGCTCAGACTGGCTGTGCTGATTCTTTTCAGCAGTGCCTGGATCTATAGAGGATGAGTGTCAAAAGCCTCTTTAGTTAAGATAGCTCACTTAATGGGGTACGACTCGCGACTTTCCCTTTTGTGTATTATGCACAGGTGAGATACTGAGAGGCATTTGGGATGCTTTAGTTTCTAGTTTGGTTTCCTTTTCCCTATGGTGTACAAGTCCTTTATTTGGCTGGATTGGTTACCTAGGAAACAACTGCAGAGTAAAGATGGATTGGTTGTTTGGGGAATAGAATTACAGGCCCCTTCCAGAAGCAAAAGACCTGTTGGATAAAACAAAAGTTGGTGAATGGCTGAGCTTGCACTTAGTAAGTGTGCTGCAGGAGAGCACAGAGTACGAGGCAGTTCTACAGGAGAACCTATTTAATGCAGTGTGATTTCAAATTCAGCTCGTTTTTAATTCACTAGACTTACCAAATGCTTATTAATTTCCTGCTTGGTAGCTACTGCTACAAGGCATTTGGAGGTGTTCTAATGAAGTAGAAGGTGCAGATTTCTCTTCTGAAAAGCTCGTGTTTTGTTTGGGGTAAAAGAAAGCTACCTCAGTATATGGAATGCCACGTAGCCAGCTGTGGTCCCAATCCCCTGCCCGGCTGACCTGAAACACTCCAGGTGTGCATGCATGCACACGCCTGAGATCCTAACAAGCTGGAGAGCTAGGGGACAGGGATCAAGGCAGATAAGACCCTGTCAGTGTTGATTCTCTCTCTCACTCTCTCGTGTGCACATGTGTTCTCTGTCATAAGTAAAAAAAATTTTTCATTTTTTTTAAAGCTGCCTTAAAATCAAGTGCATGATCTAGTGATACAGACTTGATGTGTTAAGAGCATTTAGAAGATAGGCCACATGGTCTACTGGTTGAGGGAAGCAGACCCTACATGGCTGGCACTGCATGGTTCAAGTCTTAGACCAAGCTGCTTGAAAAACACACCAGGTGCATGTATGTGCATGCCCTAACTCCTAAAAGGATGAAGAAATGGAGAAGAAGGGACTGAGGCATGACCACACCCCACTGGAGGGTGCTTTCTCTTCTCTATGTCTGGGGACTGCATGTGCCCTCTAGCAAAAATTCTTAAAGAAAGAATTTGGAGGAAGTAAAAGATTTTGACTGTCAGTGTGAGCGATAGATTTGAATGTACAGGCAGGAGACAGTTCACCGAGATAAAATGAAATTTAAAGACCTAGTGAAAGTTTGGGTACTAAAAGTATCTGACGTAGTAAGATTTAATAGTAACAACATGGATACCCTTGGAGATTTCCCCAGTTAGCTTATGGAAAATATGTGCCTGGTTTACAAATTTTGTCTCTAAGAGTCTTATTCAAAAAAATGGATTTTAATAACAATGTTGGCTGACCATTGGTCCAGCCTTTATATATTTAAAGAAAGTCTGTTTTCACTGAAAATGTGACAGAGTATTCATTTTGGAATATCTGAGTGCTACAACAATGCCAAGCACATAGGAGACACTCAGTAAAATATTCGTGGATTGATTTCTTACGTACAGTATACCTTCTGGTTGTCAGTTAGCATTAGCTTCATTTCTTTGCAAGCAGAGATCCTGAATATTTGGTCTTGATTTGTTGTGATAAAGAATTTTCTAAGTACAGGAGCCTAACTCTTCTTTTGAAGTAGAATGTCTGTCAGATCATTTCCAGTTGATTTGTGGAAGATATGTCTATAATCTTAATTTTCTAACTTGTTCTGTTTGTATTCACTCGGTATGGTGTGCCAGACAGGAGAGGAGGATAAAAGCAGTCCCACTCAGAAAACTTAAAAACCTACAGGCACCAGTTAAGTTGATTTTCATGCCAATGTTTCTCATCGCGTCCATATATAGAGAGTAAGAGAAGCACCCTAAAGACACTCAGAAATATTTTGAAGGAGAGGTATCAGGATTTACTGAATTTATCATTTTTACTACTTGTAAAATGTAATTCTCAAATTCAGATTTAAGAAATCTACAAGAAATACAGAGTTATCAATGAAACTTTCTTTGCATATAAAATTTAGATGTGGGGACCAGCAGTTGATGCAATGACTATATCACTGGACTCCCATGTAGTCTACTGCGGTTCGAGTCCTGGACCTGGTGGCTTAAGCTCACGCCAGGTGCGCGTGCCCAAGATCCTGAGAAGAGAATGGAGGAGGAGGGATTGCAGCGTGGCCATCCCCCCTGGGGCGTGATTTCTTGCTTTCTGTCTCTCTGTCTCTCTCTGCCTTTCTGGCGAGCGCACGCGCCCTATGGCAAAAAACTCTCAAAAATAAAATTCAGCTGTGGCCAGCCATGGTGGCACAGTCGTAATTCAGCCCTCTGTGATGCTGTGGCCACGTGGGAGGGTCCCACGTTTTTACCTGCCCAGGTCTCATTGTGTGTGTGAGCCCTGTGATTCTGGCTGGCTGGGGCTGGGGGTGGATTGTGGTATGTAGTCTTTGTTGGGGTGACCCCCATCTCTGTCTCTCTCTCTCTCATGAAAAAAGTAAACTTTTAAAAAATTAAGTTATGAAGAACGTTGTTGCTATAATAATCCACAATAATTGCATTTCGTTCAAGGGTTTTTTCATTGCCTGTAGTCTGTTCTTACAGCAATTACAGCTTTTGTAAATGGAAAAGAGTAATTTGTTACAAGTCTTTTGTGGAATGATCAGTAGTTTCCTGTTAGTAGTTCTTAAACGCAGTGAATGCCTTCTTCATTTCCAAAATTACAATGAAATGCTTTATCATAATAAGACACTCCCTCCACCCCAAGTTTTCTTTCTAAGGAAACTTTCTAGTGTTTTAACTTAAGAACAGTGCCGTAGTTCCTGGATGCCTATTCACCCTTACCTTATCTCCTCTTCTGATTTCAGTCATTTACAATGAAACTTTAAAAATTACAATAGTGTTCAAACTTTTCTTGGTTTTAGGTTTTTGTCATAGGGTGCATGCACTTGCCAAAGAGAGACAGATAGAGACAGAGAGAGGGAAAGTGAGAAATCACCCCCTGGGGGGATGGCCCTGCCAGAATCCCTTCTCCATTCTCCTTGGGATTTGGGACAAGCACACACACGACTGGCCTGAGTTTCAAGCCACCATGTCCAGGACTTGACCAGCGATCAGCCACATGGATTCCAACACCTTCACCACCATGCGACCTACTAGCCCCATGTCGAACATTTTTACTGATATATTGGTTCGTCAGAAAACTCATGATGTATTTTTCTGTTTTTCTGTGCAAAAATGCGTCATGACTTTTCTAACAACCCAATACGTCTAACATGTAAAGTCGTTCAGCTCCAAGCAGCAGCTGGGGGAGGCATAGTGTGTGGCATTATTGGATGGTCTGCTCGCCTCTTGTCCCTGTCTGCCTCCATCCACAACCCCATAGTTGCAATGCTGTTTGCACCTGTGCAGGGATTACCACATGGGCTTAATTATTAGATGATTTGGGAGAAGTGCAGTTCATTTATGCATCACCTTCCACTCTACTTAGCATTATGGCTGGACAGAGCTAGCCTTAGAGAGAAAAGCAAAGTACAACTCAGTTTTGGGAGCAGAACTGATTTCTTGCTTCATTTTCTTTCAACACATTGCTTTATTTCTTAGAGTGGATCAATAGCAAAACACAGGTTGCATGAAAACACCCTCCCTCCAACAGCCCCACCTCCTCATGAATACACATCCACTGGATCCAGTCTGTCTGACCTCGCCCACCCACATAGCTTCCCAGAAGCCTTCTAGGACTTGTACCGCTGTCCTCGCAGAAGGTACCTGATCTTAGCAAGTACTGTGACTTTGAGGTCAATGTCTGTTTTTATTTTTAATGTGTGTTCACAGTGAGAAAGTAATGCAGACCAAAACTATGCAGGTATCTATATATTTTCAGTGCTCCAGCAATTTCTGATCTTGCATTTTTGGTAACTTTTCCCATTTGCAGTTGCTTTTGCAAGGGGAAGCAGTCTTTATAAGAAGTACCTTTTTGTATTTTATGAAGTAACATTTAAATTCTTCTTCTTAATGGGAAAAAGGAGAAAATTACCCTTTCACTTTCATAATCTGGGTTTCTTTAATTTAATTCACCCCCAAATTGACAGAGGTTGTCCTTGAGTTTGACATGAGAACATGTTTATGGAAAAACAGCACTAGACATTTCATAAAAATCACTCATGGGGCCAGCAGATGGCGTAGTGGTTACATCACTGGACTCTCTCACATGGCTGATCATGGTTCAAGTCCTGGACCCAGTGGCTTGAAAAATACACTGGGCACGTGTGTGTACGTCCCCAGGATCCTGGGAGGAGAATGGAGAAGGGACTATGGCGTAGCCATCCCTCCAGGGGATGATTTCTCACTTTCCCTTTCCCTGTCTCTGTCTTTGTCTCTGTCCCTTCCCCTCTGCCCCCGAAATGCACATGCCCTAAGACAAAAACCTCTACATACACACAAAAAAATTGGGGACCAGCAGATAGTGTAATGGTTACGTTGCTGGACTCCCACATAGTCAACTGTGGTTCCAGTCCCAGACCCAGCGGCTTAAAACTCACTCTGGGTGCATGTACATGCGTGCCCAAAATCCCGAGAGGAGAATGGAGGAGCAGGGATTGCGGCCCCCCCCTCCTCCCGGGGGGGGGGGGGTGATTTCTCATCTTCTGTCTCTGTCTTTCTCTGTCTCTCTGCCAAGCACAGATGCCCTATAGCAACAATCTCTCTTTTAAAAAAAGAAATTTAAAAAAAAATCACTCATTTTATTTAAATGGGGGGGCACTTTAAAAAACACTTTTGTAATTTGCCTTCATGCCTTTCTGGTGAAATATGCAGAAATAGTTTGACAGCTTTCATACTTGCACATTGGACAAAATTGGTGAACTCACAAAGGTGGGGGAACCTCCTAGTTTTTCTAACATTTTCTTGAATTTAATGGAAAACTAATTACATTATAATAGTCTTAGACTTTTTAACTTGGAGAAATATATTGCTTCTAGTATCAGTCTGCTATCTGGTTTTATTTATGTATAACGACTAGGCATATTATAAGTTTGACTTTACTGTCCAGAAAAGCATTTTTCTCTTCAGCTAAAATAATGTACAATGAGTCTTGGTCTACAGATAGAAAGTTTAAAAAAAAAAAAAAGAAAGAAAGAAAAAAGGAAAGGCTTAAATTAAAGTAAGTAAAAAAAAAAAAGAGCAAGTTCTTAAATTCTTTTCATTAATACGCAAGCTCAATGAGGGCAGGAGCCTCATCTGTATGTTGTTTGCTATTTCCCTGGATCCTGGAACAGTGCCTGACACACATACTCAGAATAGCTTTCTTTCTATGGCTTTGTGAGTCTTGGTTTTATTTTTCAAGTTCACTTTGTATGTGAAGCCACGTATTGCTACATGATGAGCTACAGCAGAATGCCGAAGGGTGGGACTCAAGAGACTTGTGTGCTTAAATGACCCAAGAGAGGCAAATAAAATATATAAGTACTAATGGGGTGGTAGGAGGGAATTTCCTCTGGGTGCGCCCAGCCCACTAACGTATTCCCACCTTTTGCATCTCCCCAGGAGCGCTCACTGTGGGCCTTGTGCGGCAGTGTCAAACAATCCATGGACGAGACCGGACATGCATCCCACCCCGGCTCCCCCCAGAGTGGGTCACTACACTGTTTTTTATCATCATGGGAATCATTTCATTGACTGTCACATGTGGTTTGCTGGTGGCTTCTCACTGGCGAAGAGAAGCTACAAAATATGCCCGATGGATAGCATTCACTGGAAGTAAGTAACCTGTGCTTACTAAACTTGTGTAGAAGGTGTGCACACGGGTATGTTCATGAAGATAATCACGAATCAGTAATAAGGACTCTAATCAGAGGTCACCACGTGCATATAGTGGTGAGAGAGACTCACGCAGCCCCCGCAGCTCTTCAGAACTCGTGCTGTAAGACCAGGACAGGCAGTTTTCATTGCTTTGTATGAAATGCTATTTTAATTCACTTTATTTTGCTCATACTGTGACATAAGTATTCCAGGTTTGGAGTCTTTTACTCTTCTTAAAGGTATTAGCGTTTCATATCAAAATAAAAATAAATCTAGAAAAAAAATATATAATATAAATTAAATGAAGGTGGTGATTTGCTTTTTTTTTGGTGATTTGTTTTTTAATGTCATGGATTTTTGAGTTTCTGCTATTATTGTGTGACCCCTGAAAAAACTGGCATGCGTGGTAACTTAATAATTACCAACTTTCTGTACTCTAGTAAGCTATCCAAAGGTGTTTCATATAGTCGCATATTTAAAAAAATTGGTTTAGTTTTAGAACACATCTGAGGTTTATCATAAAACAAAAGTAGAAATGTACGAAGAAAAGATATTTCTGTAAGTCTGCTTTAATGCTTATTTCTCTCTAAAGCAATTTTGCACCCCCAGAAACATCTGGCAGTATCTGAGAACATTTTTGATATTCACAACCAGGGGATGCCAGTGGCATCTGGTGTGTAGAGGCTAGGCATCTGCTAAACATCCTAGAAACGCACAGGGCAGCCCCCCACAACGAGGGAATATCTGGCCCCAGATGGGAGTAGTGCTACATGGAGAAGCCCTGCTCTGGGGAAGCAGGGTAACAATACCGATGCAAAATACTGTAGGACTTTGCTTCTGATTCAGGCCCCTAAAACCATCTCGGGTTTTTGTAAGTCTTTTAAAATGAATATCATAACACAGCTTGCTGTCACTTGATATTTTCATTTGGAACTAGTATAAAAGAGCCAAAGAATTCCATATTGCCCTTAGAATGTTAAAACTCAGTTTATCCTTTCAGGCTGTAGGATGACAATGCTCCTGAATGAGTCTATTTCTCTCTATCTCTCTGTGAAACTTTCTCTTTAATATATCAGGTTGTTGGAAAAGTCAGTAGTATTTTTCTATGTAAAAATGCGTCATGATTTGCCAACAACCCAATGTGTTTCTAACTCTGTTTTGTTTTGGTTTTGTCTCAATATTGTCCTTAATTTTTAATTTTAGATCAGGTTGCCTTTGGCTTCCAAGGGTTGCTTCTCCACCCTTATTTAGCAATGTGAAACAAGTAGATGATCTTCCCTCGTCAAACAAATCTCCTGGGACAGGTTGTTCTAGACAGCAGGATCTGGAACAATTGTAGTCACTTCTGCTTAGTTAGAAAGTATTGATGAGGAATTCTTTTCTTTTTTCCTTTTTTTTTTTTTTTAAGAGAAATTTTTTGCTATAGGGCACGTTCACTCGCCAGAGAGAGAGAGAGAAATCGCCCATGAGGGATGGCCACGCCACAGTCCCTTCTCCTCCATTCTCTCCTTAGGATTCTGAGCATGCATACACACGTGCCTGGCATGAGACTCAACTGCAGTTGGCTATGTGGGAATCCAGCAATGTAACCATTGCTCCATCTGCTGGTCCCAGGAATTTGTTTGTTTGTTTGTTTACTGTAAGGTATGTGTACTCACCAGAGTGAAACAAGAGAGAGGGAGAGAGGGAAAGTGAGAAATCACCCCCTTGAGGGGTGGCCACAATCCTGTCTCCATTCTCCTCTTGGAATTTTGGGCACTCATGTACATGCACCAGGTATATTTTTTAAGCTGCTGGTATGGGATTGAACCTACAGTTGACCATCTGAGATACAGCCATCTTCACCACCATACCACCGGCCAGCTCCAGAGTCACTCTTTTTTTTTTTTTTAAGAGATTATGCTATAGGGTGTGCGTGCAGACCAGAGAGACAGAGAGTCAGAAAGCAAGAAATCACCCCTCGGGGGGATGGCCACGCCACAGTCCTTCTCTTCCATTCTCCTCTTGGGATCTTGGGCACACATGCACACGCGCCTGGCTTGTTTCAAGCCTCCAGATCCAGGACTTGAACCGCAGTTGGCGCGTGGGAGTCCAACAACATAACTATTACATCATCTGCTGGTCTCCAGAATTTACTCTTTAAGTAGTAAAGTAATATTAAAATAAGACTTAGTTCCTGAACTTAGTTAAAATTTGCAAATGCATGTCCTCTAAATATCAAAAATCTAAAAAAGAGTTTAGCAGAGTAGTATGTTAAAGAAAGCATTAAGATGTTCACATAAGCTCCTGATTTTCGTGAACCAGTAAAGGAAAAGGACAAGGATTATCTTTGTTTCTCATTCTGCTTCAACAGAGAATATTTAAGTATGTGTAGTTGCTCCCAAATGCAATATATTTTTTCTTGGTATTTTAACTAAATAATTTAACTTTTTGAAATAATACTTGCATATGATACAAAATTTAATACCTATGAAAGGGTGAAAAGTTCCATTTGTGGCCCTGTCACCAAGCCATTCCTTCCCCAGAGGCAACCATTGTTATGAGTTTCTTAGGTTTCCTACCATAGGTGTTCTACGAATAGACACACGTGTCTGCATATGTGTGTGTATTCTACAAATATGTACTTATATAAAAGTTCTTCACACTATTCTACATCTTGGTTTTTTAACTTAATGTCTTTGGAGCTAATTTCATTGAAGGAAGCCTATGCTGCCTTCCTCTTCTTAGCTTCCTTAAATACACCCTTGCTGGGGCGGCAGTTCTGAGAGGGATTGGGCTCCCTCTAGTGTTCCCATTCAGTCCTTGAAAATGCACTTTTTCTCTATTGTATATCTTTCTATTCCAAATAAGCAATAGTTTTCATAATAATGTGAAGGTAGCATTTTCCAATGGCTGTCAGTAAGGAAAAAAATACATCTAAGAGGAGAGCCCTGCGGGATTGGGCTTGTCTATGAAGGCAACAGCAACAGGGACGAGCCTTCTTCTCTAAGTCCAAGCCTTGTTCTCTCCTTGGCTGCCCTGATTTAGCACACCTAGCAGTGACCTGGCCTCGGACATTTGCCACCCAGAAATCTGCCATGGAAGAAGTGAACTTGGGTCTTTGCCAGCTTATTTAGGACCCGGCACTTAATCTTCAGTGGCTGGTAGATATTATCAGCATTAATAAATTATCTTATAGAATTATTTATTTAACTTTATTTATTATCATTATTCTTCAATTTAACCGGGGTGGGGAGGGAGAATGAGAAAGCAAACCACCAGGCCTGGGACTTGAACTCAGTCGGCTATATGGGAATCCATCGCCTCAACCATCGTGCCACCTGCCAACCACAGTGTTAATAAATTTTAAGATCTAAAATAGCTACAGTCCTCAGTATCCTAAAAAAAAAGCTCACCCACCTATGTTAAATCGAATAGGAGGTTATTGCTTCATTATACTTTGATTAAGCTTTCCTAACCAATGTGGAAAATATTTAGTTCTTAAAAACAAACTAACTATAGTCATTAATTGATTATGTCATTATAAAGGATAGATTTTTATTTTACAGTAGAAAATAGGAAAAGATAGGAATAAAGTTAGCACATTAATTAACAGTGAACAAGTTTAATATATACATATTAGTTTTTTAAATTATTTATCTATTTTATTTATGTATTTAAGTTTGCTATAGTGCTTATGAGAGAAAGAAAGCCACAAGGTCCAGGATCTGAACTGCAGTCGGCATGTAGGAGTTCAGCGCCCCAAACACCATGCCACCTGCTGGCAACCATATATACATATTTCTCTCTCTCTTTTTTTTTTTAAGACTTATTTATTTAATTTTATTATTCGTTCACTTATTTTAATTTGACAAGAGAGAGAAAGAGAGAGAGAGAAAAGAAAAGTGAGAAAGAAGCCACCAGGTCCAGGACTTGAACCATGGTTGGCCAAGTGAGAGTGTCCAGCACCTTAACCATCACGCCACCTGCTGGCCTTCATATATACATATTTCTAAGCCACTTTTCTTCTAAATTACTTCACTATTTCTTAAGATTAGATTAGTAAACATTAAGAAAAATATTGTTTGCAAACAATCACCTTGTCCCAGGTCAGCAGGTGGCATGTAGGTTAAGGCGCAGGACCCCCCATGGCCCACTGTGGGGTTCAATACTGGACGCAGCAGCTTGGAAACCACACTGGCTCGAGTGTATGTGTGCTCATAATCCTGAAAAGAGACTGGAGAAGGGATTGTGGTATGGCCATCTCCCTGAGGGGTGATTTCTCCCTTTCTCTTCCTCTCTCTCTGTCTCTCTCTAGTGAGCAAATGCACCCTCTGGCAAAAAACTAAAACAACCAAAAAAGGTCTTGTCCCGTTTTACTCACTGAATTATTTTAAGCCATAAAAACACTGATGACAGATAAGGCTAATAAGTGGGCATTGGCAGCACTAATAGGTTATTTGTTACTACCTATGTATCCAAAGACCAAGAACTGTAAAACTTAGTGCTAGAATTTTTCATTTGTTCACTTGTGGGTAGCTGAAAGAATCCAAGTTTGACTGTGTATTATTTGGTGTGATCATTTGCCCCAAATTAAATAGACTCTATGTCTATATAACATAAAATTTAAAAAGTCTGCATGAGTGGTGCAAAGCAAATGAGTACTAGTGCATTTCCTTTTTTAAAAAATTTTTTTTAAATTTATTTATTTTGAGTTCTTGCCATAGGGCATGTATGCTCATAAGAGACAGACAGAGATGGTAAGAGGGAAGGTGAGAAATCACTCCCTGGGCAGATGGCCATGTTGCAGTCCCTTTTCCCCCATTCTCCTCTTGGGATGTTGGGCATGCGTGCATGTGTGCCCAGCATGATTTTCAAGCTGCCAGGTCTTGGACTTGAACCAGGGTCGGCTGTGTGGAAGTCCAGCACCTTAACCAGCTTGCCATCTGCTGTCCCTACTAATTTATTACTTAAACTGGTATATTATTTAAGCAAATGATACTTTTTAATATATTTCTGGAGCGACTCTCCTTCTGAGAAAGGATTCCTAATTGGCTTTTTAAGGATTCTCATATTAAATTGTATTGATTGATTAACACATACTGAAAACTTGCAGAAACAAGTGTCAGCTGATACATTTATGTAGGGTTCTGTCAATATTCCTAGGCTTAAGTTGGAAAAGGTTTCTCATTCAGTTAATAATGAAAAGCTTCAACTCTTCATATACTGTGACTAATAATCTGTCTTCACATTACACTGAAGAAATGTTTCTGCCTCAAGGAAATTTGAAGGACTACGAACATTTGACCAATATGCTTTCAAAAACAAAAGTATTTTCTTGGAAAAGCTAGCCTATCTGTAAGTAATTCATGTTCACTAAAAAAAGCATTTCTTTCATAGCACAGGGGAACACATGGTTTGCTAAAACATTGACTGTGGAATTGTTTCTACCCAGACATTAAGTTTTCTGATATCTTTTTTTAAAATTATTTATTTAATTTTATCTATCCACTTATTTATTTTAATTTGACCACAGAGAGACACAGAGAGCGAGAAAGAGAGGGAGGAAAAGTTAGAAAGCAAGCCACCAGGTCCGGGACTCAAACCGTGGTTGGCCATATGGGAGTGTCCAGCACCTTAACCATAACGCCACCTACTGGTCCCAGGGCTTTCTGATATCTTTCTAACAACATTTTAGTAAATAATATATTTCATTTGTTTATATAAAAAACTGAAGGCTTCCCACCCTCCCCAACTTAGCCTTTCTGTGTATGCAGAAACCTGAAGGTGATTTTATTTTTTTGAAACATTGTTCATAAGAAATAACTACTATGATAGTTTGCTGAACATCCCAGAAATCTGAAGTTCTTCCTTTTCTTTTTCTTTCTTTTTTTCTTTTTTTTTTTTTTTTTAAGAGAGATTTTTGCTATAGGGTGCATGTGCTTGCCAGAAAGACAGAGGCACAACGCAAGATATCCCCCAGGGGGTATGGCCATGATGCTGTCCCTTCTCCTCCATTCTCCTCTCGAGATTTGGGGCACGGATGCACATGTGCTCGGCTCGGCATGAGTTTTAAATTGCCACTCCAACTGTGGTTGACTGTATGGGAGTCCAGCAACGTAACCATTACACACCATCTGCTGGTCCCAATCTGAAGTTCTTTCTACTAGCTATTTTAAATCAGAGAAAGATAAATCATATTTATTTGTACATGCCTTTTCCTTTTTTAAAAAGAATTATTTATTTAATTCCATTTATTATTATTATTTTTTTAGAGGTTTTTGCTATAGGGCGCGTACACTTGCCAGACAGACAGAGAGAGACAGAGAGACAGAAAGCAAGAAATCACCCCCCAGGGGGGGATGGTCACGCCGCAATCCCTTCTCCTCCGTTCTCCTCTCAGGACCTTGGGCCGGCATGCACACGCGCCTGGCGTGAGTTTTAAGCCATCGGGTCCGGGACTCGAACCGCGGTCGACTACGTGGGAGTCCAGCGACATAGCCATTATGCTAACTGCTGGTCCCGATTATTATTATTTTTTAATTTGGCCAGAGAGAGGCAGAGAGAGAGAAAGGGAAAGTGAGAAAGCAAGCCACCAGGTCTGGGACTCGAACCACAGTCAGCCACATTGGAATCCAGTGCCTTTAACCACCCAACCCTCTGCCAGCCCCTGTAAGGGGCCTTTTCTTTATTTCCTCCTAACTAATACCAAGGTGAGGAAGACAGAATGCAGCATTTATTCAGCACTCACTCAGTCTGGCACTGTACTAGGGACTTGAGTTCTGTTTATCCTTCTAGTGTTTCTCCCATTTTCAGAAGAGAACTGCAAGCCTAAGAAGTAAGTAGAGAGCCAATAAGTAGTAGAGGCAGAACTTAGTCTCTTTCTGACTAGCGTGTGCACTGAGTTACTATTCTAAATGATTACGATTAGGATATGTGAGTACTGAGTAGTTTTAGAGAAGGCTTTTCTTTTCTTCCTTCTTTCCTTCCTCTCTCTTTCTTTCTTTCTTTCATTCTCTTTTTTTTTTTTTAAGAGATTTTTGCCTTAGGGTGCATGGACTCCCTGGGTGGGACAGAAAGAGACTGTGAGAGGGAAACTGAGAATCACCTCCCAGGGGAGATGACCATGCCACAATCCTTTCTCCATTCTCCCTGGATCTTTGGCACCCATACATGCCCAGTGTGAGTTTCAAGCTACAGGTCTGTGACTCGAACCATGGTTAGCCATGTAGGAGTCCAGCACATAACCGCTACACCATCTGCTGGCCCCAAGAAAACTTTTTTTTTTTTTTTTGTAGAGGTTTTTGACTTAGGGCATGTGCAGTCACCGGAGAGAGAGAAACAGAGACAGTGAGAGGGAAAGTGAAAATCACAGCCTACCCACCTCAGGGGGGATGGCCATGCTGTAATCCCTTCTCCATTCTCCTCCCAGGATCTTGGGCATGCATGCACACACACCTAGCATGAGTTTCAAGCTACCAAGTCAGGTACTTGAACTGTGGTCAGCCATGTGGGAGTCCAGCAACATAACCACTATGCAATCAGCTGGCCCCTGGAGAAGACTTTTTTAATGCTGATATTTAAAATCATCTTAGAGCCAGCTGGTTAAAGCAGGTGGATCCCACATAGCTGACTACGTGGTTCAAGTCTTGGACCTCAGTGGCTTGAAAAAAAACAGCTGGGCACATGTGCCAGAATCCCAAGAGGAAAACAGAGAAGGGATGGTAACATAGCCATGTCTGCTAGGGGATGATTTCTCTCTTT